ATTCTCTGTCATAAAACAATCTGCTCTGTACCTATGGTATTATAGTGGTATAGTGAGCGGCCCAGGCAATTCCCCTGTGCAGTTGCCATGTCGCTGCCGCTGCAGCTTTACCAATTAATTGGTAAAAAAAGCACCTAGTATTAAAAACACATAAAACATTAGTTTAAATGGTTCCGGCTGAAGTGGTAGTAAACTGCCAACACAAAATTAAAATAGTGCCATGATGTGCTATTAGGCACAGCATATTACTGTGCAGATGCCCTGCAGTGTTGCAATGTCAGTATTTGAGCACTCTCCTCCATCACTGCTGCTTCCATCTTCTCCCCCCGTCTTCTTCCGGGTTTGTCATCTTCAGCCTTTTGATTTGACGGTCTGGTATGATGAAACTCCCATGCATGCGCTTGGGAGTTACTTCATCTTGGCATAGGACCTTGAGGAGATTGCATAGCTCAGTGCACACAAACACTGACATGGAGGAGAGATTATGACACAAGAGACATACAGAGTCTCTTCTGTCATAAAAAAAACGGCCTGTCAGCATTTTTATTGTAAGTGACTTTACTTCTGCTTTAAGAAAATAATAAACATCACTTAGGCCATATATTTTTTTACCGTAATTCTTCTTGTATTGATCTATTTCAGTACTGCTAATATGGGTATAAAAGGTTTCAGTGTTTTCTGTTTTTTACAGTTACCAAAATTCCATAATGAAAATAACCAGACCTACTACCCAAGTCCCCCGAAGACTGTGGCCCCTAATCCACTGTACAAGACATATGAAGAAACACCATCTGAAAGGACAATCAATTTACAAAGAAATGCAATCAAAGCTCAGTGGTTAACAACATACAAGCGCAGCTTTACAGGTAGATACAATAAACATTATTATTATACAGGATTTATATAGCACCAACAGTTAGCGCAGCGCTTTACAATATAAGGAAGACATTACAATCACAATACAATTCAAGACAAGATGGTAAGGAGGGCCCTGCCCCTGAGGGCTTACAATCTAATAGGGAGGGGTAAGTGATACATGAGGAGGTAGCTGTGTGGGGATGAATTGTTTGAGAACGTGATGGTTGAGTGGTAAGTTTGAGGTGGGATAGGCTTCCCTGAAGAGATGAGTCTTAAGGGATCGCCTGAAGGCAGACAGAGTGGGAGATAGTCGGACAGGTTGGGGAAAAGAGTTCCATAGGATGGGAGAGACTCTAGAGAAGCCCTGGAGGCGAGCATGGGCAGAGTTGACGAGGGAGCTGGAAAGCAGGAGGTCTTTGGAAGAGTGGAGGGGACGGTTAGGGTGATACTTTGGGACAAGGTTTGAGATATATCTGGGGGCAGAGTTGTGGATAGCTTTGTAACCCTGAGACAGGACATATATATATACAGGGGGTGAGCTAGACTTTCTATTATATTGAAAAGGAGTTTTTGTTCATTTGTTTTATTTGCTAAAGCAAAGCTGTTTCTGATGGAGCATTTTGAGAGAGAAAAAAAAACTTTTATTCACTACCATGGCTGGCTATTGGTCATAACTGCTCTGAATATTACAATAGATACAGCACTATGGCCACCAGATGGAGCTGAGGAGCATAGGATAGAAGTATTTATTTTCGGAGTTCTGCTTTAACCACTTCCCGGCCGGCCATTGTAAATAAATGGCCGGCCAGGAGCTCTCTAGATCTGAGCGGGCGTCTTTAGCCGTCTGCTCAGCCATGCCCACTCGCGCACGCGAGCCGGAAATGCCGACATTTGCAAACAGGCAGCGATGCCCGTTAATATACAAGCGATCCGCCGGCTATAGAGCCAGCGGATCGCTTGTATGAGGTCCCGGGATGTGCGCCCCCCTCCGCGGCTCCCCCCCTCCCGCTGTCACGCTGGTCCCGGGCTCTGCTGTGCCCGGTGCGAGCCCGGGACCAGCATACTGCCTCTGTCACAGGGGATCAGAGGGAGGTCGGTACACGACCTCCCTCCGGTCCCCTCTCCGCTGTCAGAATGCGGAACTGATGTATATTACATTACTTCCGCATTCTTGTGTCACTCTCCAGCTTCAGATGCTGGAGAGAAGCTGATGAAGCAGATCTCTGCTTCATCAGCTTCTTCAGGGGGGTCCTTGGTGACCCTCCTCACACACAGAAGATGAGTGACAAACACTGGTTCGTGTCCTTTATTTTTTGGGCACTTTTCTAAACAAAATATTTGCCTAAAATTCCACGCCAGGGAAGTAGTTAAAGGCAGGCAAAAAAAACAGAAATCTTGACTTTTGTAATTATTGTTATACAGGATTTATATAGCGCCAACAACTTGCTCAGCGCTTTACAAAAGAGTGGAGACAGTACAGTTACAATACAATACAGTTTCAGAACAATAGGGTTGGGAGGGCAGGACTTGGATAGTGATTGGATGTGGGGCTGAAAGGAGAGCTCAGAGTCAAGGATTACACCGAGTACCCTGGCTTGATGGGAAGGATTGATCGTAGTAATGTTGATTGTGATGGGGAAGTTGGGGAAGGAAAGACGGAGAGGAGGAAAAATTATAGGCTCAGATTTTGACAGATTGAGTTTGAGGTAGTGGTGTGACATCCATGCTGAGATGTCACTAAGTAGATTTGAGATACGTGAAGAGACAGAGCGGGTGAGTTGAGGAGTGGAGAGATAGATTTGGGTGTCATCAGCATAAAGATGGTATTGGAAGCCATGGGAGGCTATTAATTGACCCAGGGAAGAAGTTTAGATAGAGAAAAGAAGGGGCCCAAGGACAGACCCTTGGGGGACCCCCACAGAAAGAGGGAGAGGAGAGGAGGAGGTAGAATTGTAGGTGACACTGAAGGTGCGCTGAGATAGGTAGGAGATGAACCATGAGAAAGCAGAGGCCAAGGGAATGGAGTTTATTAAGGAGAAGCGGGTGGCCAACTGTGTCATAGGCAGCAGAGAGGTCTAAAAGTATGAGAACAGAGTAGTGGCCATTGGTTTTGGCAGTTAGTAGATCGTTAGTACGTTTTAGAAGGGCAAGGAGATTGTTAACTGTAAGGCCCCGTTCACACTGAGCGATTTATCGCGCGGTAATTCCCGCGATATCGTGGCTATTTACAGCGCGATATCGCTCTCCAATGCATGGCAATGGGGCTCTGTCCGTCGCTGTCGCGGTTCGTGCGTCGCTACAGCAGGACCCTTTTTGGAGCTGATTTTGCCGCGATTCTAGCTTGCTCAATGCAAGCATTTGCGCAATATCGCGCAAAATGCAAATCGTGCGACAAACGCGCAATTTGCGAATCGCTCAGTGTGAATGGGGCCTAAGGTGGCGGCTCAGGCAGTTGTAGACCAGCCGTTCAAGAAGTTTGCAGGTAAATGGGAGCAGGGAGATGGGTCTCAAGTTGTTTAGACTGGTGGGCCCCAAAGACGTTTTTTTTAATATGGGGGTTACCAGTGCTTGTTTTAGAGGGGTAGGGAAAGGGAGAGATTGAAGATGTGAGTAAGGGAGTGTAGGATAGAGCTAGAGGGTGACCGGAGTAGTTGTGAGGGGATAGGGTCCAGGGGGCAGGTGGTTAGAAGAGTGTTAGGCTGTGTAATGTGTTGGTTATCTGCGGGATGGTATTATGCTGTATTGGGTTTTATTCAAATGGAATTCTGCATGTAAATAAATAAATAAAAATGTCATTAATACTCAGATCACGGTGAAATGAACCCACTACAACTTGATGATTATTATGAGAAGGTAATCGGAAAAATAACAGGAAAAACAGATGAAAACACAGAAATGGTAAGATATATTCATGTATGTACTCATTATATAATTCACACACAAGCAAAATGTCCTAAATTATTGCCAGGAATTTAAAGAAAACTTTCCCTTGCACTGGGGCTACCCCTGTACAGAAAGGGCTAAGTGCTTGTGTTGTCAATGGGCTAAAATAAGTCAGTGCTCACCTCTCTTCCCCTCCGCTCCGGCTGTGGAATGTCCCTCAGCGTCCTCACGTCTGTTGGGGCTGCGGAGACCAGTCTAGCAGCCAGGAGGGACCGAGGATCATGTGAGTAATAGTTTTATTAGTCTCCTCTAGATGAAAATGAGCACTTAACCCTTGCAGGGCGGGGGTAGTCCCACTACAAGGGTAGGTTTTTTAAAAATTCTTCTTCACAGAGACTCTCTGTTTTGCCTGAGGAAGGGACCGTGTGGTTCTGAAACGTCGCCTGTGTTGATGTGACACTATAGCAGTCAATAAATAAATATTAACTAGAATTTATACTGGAGTACTAGTGACCTTTCTTTACCAGCATCCGCTGTCATTTTAGCACCCACCCGATTTTTTATTATTCGGTCAGGAGTGTGACGGGCTCGTATGTTATTTGTCCGTACGAAAACGCCACTAATCCATCAATGTTCATATGATTTGAAAAACGTTTTCCAGCCTGACCGATGGAGAAAACTCGGCCAGTTGTACAGTAATGCTGATCGTTCACTTCCCATCAACTGGCCAATTATCGTATGAAAACCCGATCTCCGAACGATAATAGCAAGGTATATGGGGACCTTTGGTTGCAACTAAATGGGCCCTAAAAGAAAACAGTAATATATCCACAATATCCAGTGTCATCTCACTGGAGCCACTGTAGGTTGTATTTCTTTGGTAGAGCGTTGTATTTATAAAACAGAAAAATAAATACATTTCAGTTTAGATTTGTAAATGTTGTAGTTGGAAAGCTTATAAAATGTATTTCTGTAATGTTATGATTTACCTTTTTTCAGAAGCCAACATTCTTATCGACTGTCCTTCAGGCACGACCAATCCTGGGACGCATTTCCCGTTTAAGAGAAGGTCGTCGGACTCTTGAGAAAGCGGAGAACCCTGAAAGTAAAGCAGTAAAATATAAACCCAGATCAAATGATGAGATGAAGACAGCTGCACATGCATCTTGTGCCTCTGACACTGCTGGTAACAGTGTGGATACCTATCACACAAATAAGGAGAACACAGAGTACTCATCCACAACACAGAAACATAAGAACCCTGATTTACACAAAATTACAGACACTGAAAAGACAGATGCTTTGTACAGAAGGCAGCTTACACCCGTACCAACTCATTATGATTCACAGTATAAACCAGTCCAGGAAGAGTTACCAGCTGGACAGGATCCATATATTGTCTTTGAGAGCTCTCAGCTCAGCAAACCATTCCTAAAAAGGTGTTCCACAAGTCAGGAGGCTTGTTCTATAAAACCACAAGATACCTGTAGTGTACCAAGGCACTATATTCACCAGAACACATTAAGAGCACAAAGTGCCATTCATAGATCTGGGAAGACTTTGCCCCATGCGACTCTACTTGCTCTCCAAGACTCCTACACAAGGTCTGAAGCTCATAAAACACTCCAGCAGAACTTCCCAGAAAAGACAAAAGATCTAAGGGAAAATTGCTATTCTGGAAGGAAGCACAAGTTTTATGGGTTCCATTCCTTTTATTTCCACAATTAACAGTTGTTATTAACAGTCAAACACTGCAAACCACACAAGAGAAATAAAACAACGTGTTGGATACAACTGGGATTGTAACAACCTGTAATTACTTGCATAAGCTAATATATAACAGGTTTATCTGATCATCCTGGTAACAACCATTTTATAGAGACAATCTATACTGTGGATGTATGGAGGCGGCCATTGCAAGCCTCTCCTGAAAAAAGCTAGTCATGGGCATAGTTATAGCTAGGGATGCACCAATACCGATACTTGTATCTGTATCGGTGCCAAAACCGAGTACTTGGGCAAGTTCTTGTCCTCGCCCAAATGCTCCGATGCCTAGCCCGGGTAGCTAGTCATACACGCTGCCCAGCTTCCTGATTGGCCGGGAAGCCAGCTCCATGTACCCTCGTCACTTGGTAACGATGGAGCATGGTGCCAGCTTCCCAGCCAATCAGGAAGACGGGCGCCGTGTATTGACTCTTCCACGGCTTCCTGATTGGTCGAGAAGCTGGCCAATCAGGAATACAGGCGGCGAGTCATTACTCGCCCCCCGGCTTCCTGATTGGCCAGAAAGCCAGCTCCATGCTTCCTCTTCACCTGGTGAGGAGGGAGCATGGAGACGGCTTCCTTGTTAATTGGGAAGCTGGGTGGCAGGTCTTTACACTCCGCCCGGCTTCCTGGCTAATCAGGAAGCCAGGTGGCGAGTCATTACACGTCGTCTGGCTACCTTAATGGGACTATCGGTGTTTGATATTGACGAGTACCAAAAAAAAATATTGGTACTCGATACCGAAAAACCGGTATCGGTGCATCCCTAGTTACAGCTATAACAAACCACGCATGGGCCCAGTAGATTTTGGGGGGTAGCACTGTCTGGCTACATAGTCATTTATGTAGAAAGATATAACTTTTGGCAAATACATTTGGATGCTTTTAATGTATATAATATTTGGGAAACTATAGAAGGACTCATGCCAACGAGTATTGTTTTAGTAAGTTTGACATGGGTTTGGAAAGCATGCCGAGCTCATTGACTTTACCTGAGCAGTGCACATGGCAGTTCAGAGTGTTTGAGCTGCCGTGTTTTGCACTGCGTTTCTTCAGATGCAGCATGTTCTACTGAGGTGTGTTTGAACTGTGTACAAAGCAGATCAAACAGGATTTTCCTGTCAAAAGGTACTTTTCATAATAGACGGCAATGAAAATGAAATAGAACATATGGAATGAAGGCGCATATAAGGATAAAGGAAAGACCTGCCAGTCAAGAGATAAGTCATGAGAACCATACTTATATCAGCTCAATGTTCATATTGATGTGCTGTGCAAGAACTCCTAGTGCCAAAGAAATATACATTGCCCAGCAAAAAAGTTTCCCCCAACTCTCTGAGCTCGGCTTCCCTGAACTTCCTGCACAGTACAAGATCACAAGGGAGAGCACAGTCTCCAGCAGCTGTCTATATACTAGCTTGGAGAAGGGAGGAAGGAGGAGTGTGGATTAGGTGTGAGAGGCATGACTTGCCAAGGGGAACAGTAATGTGCTTCCAGGAAAATCCAACTCAACCTATTGATTCTTCACTTAGGCCAGGGGTGTAAATAGGTTACATAGCACCATAGGGATGTGATTATAAGCCGAAGGGCCATGTGAAAACCATTTGGTGTCAAAGGGCATCTAACTGGGTAACCACACCATTTAAACCAACCACGATGCCCCCCCTTAATCAAAACATGAACCCCCACAGATGCATTCATTATAGTGATAAAGTCAAAAGATTTTTAAAGCATTTTCAAATGCTGATAAAGTTACTTAGACCTGGTTCACATCTGGGCGTTCAGTGAACGTGCGGCAATTTGTTTGTTTTCATGCATGATTGTTGCACGTTCCCTGAATTGGGCACAAAAACGTGAAATGCACTTGCAGTGCAATTCACTTCTAATGGCACCCCAAACGCGTCCTGCAAATTGCGTGATTTTCTGCTGCATTACCACATGTGCAAATGCAGGTCGCTCAAAAAGGTGTAGGAGCCGTTTTGCCGCACGGATATGACCCCATTGAAATCAAACGCACGTTCCCAGGACATGCGGCCCAGGAACGCTCAGGTGTGAACCAGGCCTTACAATGGAAGCTGCTTCTTGATGTTTAAAAGTTTTAGCTTCCTGTAGAATCAGCCGGTCCCCTGAGCTCTGGCCCTAATATCCTGTTTTAGGGTGGCTTCTTACCATTGCCGGGTCCTATTGAGCCACCCTTGTGTGTGCTAGTAAACGATGTGTGTCTCCATGAACACACTGATACAGCAAGGCAAGACACTCCCCTCCCTCTTGCTCCACACTCCTCCTTCCCAGGGATGTATCTGCCGCGAGGCAAACAAGGCGTTTGCCTGGAGCGGCAGATTCCCTGAGAGCGGCACTTGCTGTGGTTCTCTCCCCTTGATAAATTTTATTTATCAAGGGAAGAGAACCGGAGGCTATCGTAGCGGCGGGGACAAGGACGGCTGGCAAGGACGAGGACGGCGAGTTGCGGCGTTGTCCAGCAGGCAGCGGTCGTGATCGTTGGAGGGGGTTGTCTATGGAGGCTTGTGCTGATGGGGGGGCGGCCGTCAGTACGGGGGGGGCGGCATTGCTGTTTTGCCTAGGGCAGCAGCATTTGTAAATACACCGCTGCTCCTTCCTCCCTTCTCCAAGCTAGTATATAGACAGCTGCTAGAGATTGTGTTTTCCCTTGTGATCTTGTACTGGGCAGCAAGTTCAGGGAAGGTGAGCTCAGAGAGTTGGGGAATCTTTTTTGCTGGGCAATGTATATTTGTTTGATCTGGATTCATTATTGGAAAAAAAGGTTTGAGAGTTTAATACTACGTTTAGTGACATTCCTCTAGCTCTGTGACAAATCACGCTTGCATCAGTACAAAATAATGGCGGTCCACAATGCATAATGTCTATAGCCATATGCACCACTTGTCACAGAGCAGCTTTTGAATAGTGAAAACCCTGCTGGGCCCTAGGCAGACCGCAGCAATGAAAAGAGTTGGGTTATTTTATCCGAGGCCTTTAATAAAACTTAACTGCTTGAAGAGGAGGACAAGATTGCTATTTAACCTCTTGCCGTCCGCCCGTAGTAGAAAAACGGACGGACGGCACTGCCAAATATCTATTTTACAAAAAGAAGTCAACTTTAAAATATTTGAAATCCTTATCGCTTCTTTCTAGTAAATACCCTTCAGAACCAAAGGACAAAGTGCTTTAACCTTTACTAGATAGCACTCTATGCTACGTGATGTCTCCTTGTAAAGTGAAACTGTTGTAAAGTGAAACTGCGATTGCATCACAGACTACTCTGTAAGCCTATCAGCTGATTTACTGCACCTACTGCACCTACAAGTCACAAATAAATGACTGAGATTTCCTGAGGCCGCGGAATGTTACAGAGAACTCAGTACAGTGTGTGCTACATAATATCAACTGACCTGACCTGCCTGAACAATGATCAGTTTTTGTGATCGCACTACACCTTATAAAGTTAAACACTGAAATAAGAACTAATTACAGAACTTCACCAGCACCGTGAGATTTTATATGACCCAATGAAAAAAGTAATGTTAATCGAAACTATAATTTGTTGTATAAAAGAAAATTCGAGCTCTGCTCCAACCTCATTGTATGTATCCACTGTTGGTTCATTCGTACTTTTGTGTGCATTGATGCACCTTGTGTTAGTGCAGTCTATTCAGTTTAGGGCCTCATTCACACAGGGTGTGCTGCACTGTACAGCGTCTAGGACTGTTTTTTCATGTGCCCGGAGCTGTGGGAAAAAAGCGTGTGGGCAGAGCATGTAAAGGTGCCCTTGCGATTATTGTTTAAAAACTAACGGGATTGTTTTTTTTTACGATAATCGGCCAGTTGATTGGAAGCGAACGATCAGAATTACTGTACAACTGGCCGAATTTCCCCGATCGGTCAGCCTAGAATACTTTTTTCGAATCGTACTAAAATTGATGGATTAGTGGCGTTTTCATACCAAAAAAAATCGCAACATGAACACTGCACATGCGCAAATGAAAATCCAGTCTGTTGATCAATGAAATTCAGTGAGTTAGTATTGTTAACGAATGATAATCGAAATCCACATTGGTCTGTGCATGATGTGGTATTCGAGCGGAACACGGACGATGGTTCGATGACATGACGAAAGAAATCAAAAGATAATTGTAAGGTGTATGGCCAGCTTTAGGCCCGGTTCACACCTGAGCGTAGGAACGCGCGGTAAAACGCGCAACAGGTGAAAACCCATGTTTGCCTATGGGCATGGTTCTCACCTGCGCGTTTTACCGCGCGTACGATCGCTCTGTAAAACGCCATGCGCCCAAAGAAGTACATGAGCTTCTTTGGGGCGTATTAACGCCCGTATCCCGCTGTATCCATCAGGATACAGCCAAATACCCCCTCGGAAACTCGCGTTTGACGCGTGTTTCTTTTACTGCAAATCGCGGTAAAACCGCGCGGCAAAGACGAGTTTCCAATACGCTAAGGTGTGAACCCAGCGTTAGTCTATGGAGAGTGGGAAGTTGTGCGCCCTCACATGCTGCTTTTAGCAGCTCTAGCTTTTGACGGCTGAACACAGTGTACAGACCTGGATGCATCATGTCTGCGTCTGAGGTCATGTACGTCTGTGTGCAGCTGTCAAAACTCAGAGCTATGGGAAGCAACGTATGTGTGCACATATTTCCTATGTCTCCATAAACTTACACGAGCTTCCCACAGCTCCAGGCTCATCAAAAAGGCCCTTCACGCTGTATGGGTCAGCAATGAATGAGGCAAACATAGACCCTCAACACACCTGAACACATACAGCAGCTGAAATAACACACCTGCACTATACAACTTATCATACTGCACAGATCATTCACATCTGAGCACTGTGGTGCACTACAGTGCAGGTGCATCTTTTCTTACCGTATACATGCCTTTGAGAGCCGTTCAGGATGAACAGCAATGAGCATTAAAGCTTGAGTTTTAGCACTCAGAACTAAGGATGGGCTCGGGCGTGTTCGCAGCTCCACGTGCCGAGCGTGCCAGGAAGCTGACAGCACGCAGCGCCAATCACAGGTACTGAGACATTTTCCCGGTCCGCAGCTGCAGAGATTGGGAAATGTCTCAGTGCCTGTGATTGGCGCTGCGTGCTGTCAGCTTCCTGGCACGCTCGGCACGTGGAGCTGCGAACACGCCCTAGCCCACCCTTACTCAGTACCACAGGCCATAGATGTGAATTCAGCCTAATGCTGACAGAAATCACCCCAATGGAGAAACACACAGTAACAAACACCTGACAATTGTTCTAACCTTTTCCCACTCTTTCCAAAAGTAGAAAAAAAGGTTTTGACTGGTGTTGGGCTTTATTATAGTTCCCACTGTGTTACTGAACCCCTGGGGCTGAAGTTTAAAGGGTAAGTTCAAATCTATGTATAAAAGGTGACGTTTTACCCACGTTATTACTTTATATCTTCCTCAGGGAAGAAATGCCTCCGTTTAGTGAGCATGCAGTACATGCAGCCTAATAACACAATGGGGTGGGGCCTGTGTCCCTCAAAGGACTCCTAGAAAAAGATATTACGGTGACCACAAAAAATCTTCTCTTCTGTTTCGTCCATTGAGGGACACAGGATTGTAGTGATTCCATCCAATTCAATCAAATATAGAAATGGTCAGTACCATGCGAATGACAGTGAGAGTCCGGAACTGGGCAGACAAATGACATAACAGAAAACAAGTACCTTAAAGAAAGGCTTGAACTAGCAATCGGAGGACAACCAATCATCCACTTTCAGGAAACAAACAGGTGGAACAACAATTACCTGAACAGGAGAAATCATTGAGACCAACTGCTCAACGTGGTCAACAAAAATAAAAGCATACCTAAGCTTTGTCCTTTGTCATTGAAGCTTGGACAGATAAGGTATGTCCATAAAAAGACCAAACACCTAACAGCTGCCGACATAGGTAAAACACTCTTAGCCCGTGACTGCAGGGAGAGGAAGGTGCATATATGAAGAATGACATCTGGGAGAAAAGTCATCTCTGACTCTGACAAGAACCCTCTGTGCCACAAAGCTTGTAAGGAGCGAGTGCTAGTAATCCTGAATCCTTTGAGAGGAGAGGATGTGGTGATCAATCACACCTATAGAAAGGGTTAGGCAGGGGAAGGACACATTATAACACCAATAGGTGAACAAGGACAGCAGGAGCAGAAGGAAGAAAAGGAGTCCTCTCACTTCACAGGCAAAAGCGGTTTAGGGATGTGATAGCCATACCATAACCTGCCTGACCAGTATTGTATATTTGAAGGAGGGCATTAGTACTCAATGGGGAGAGAGGGGGGGTTGGGGTTGACAGAAGGCCACAAGTATTCAGTGGGATGAGAGGGAGAGCATTGGTGTTTGGTGGTGGGAGGGATGGGATTGGTACTGGATGGGGGCGAGCGAGAACACTGGTGCTCTGTGGGGCAAAAGGTAAGGCATTGCTACTCTGGAAGGAAGAGAGGGAACTGGTACTATTACAGTTTTTTTCCCCTTTGAATTGTGTAACTGATAAGCAATACGCATGCGCACTATTTGCGCTCACATAACGTTCTGAGCAGCAGCACCTAGAAAGACACCGCCTCAGTGCCCTTGCCGACGTCAATGGACAGCGCCAGTGGGCTTCCGTAATTCCTTGGAAAGCCCAAGCTCCTCCCTCTACGTCTGCTCAACCTAGCATGATTACGGAGACACGGACCAATCGAAAGAGAAAAGCCTAGAAGAGATTGGCTGAGCTGGTAACGCTGAAGGCAGGGCGGTGTAGACGTAACACGGAATACGTAAGCCTGGTTGCGCGGACACCGGTTACATAGGGCTTGGTACAGCGTGTCCTTGGGATTAGAGCGTTCGAGACGTGCTGTTGTGTACATCGTCCGGGTGGAAGAACATAGAGGGTGCGGTAAGATATGGAGGCCGGAGCCTTCTCTATAGTGACTCCTCTCTGCTTCTCGCTTTAGTTACTGGAGGCTTTTTATTAATTTTGTGTTGACCTTGTTATGTCCGGTCACATCGCAGTATCCGGAGCCGGTAAATGCCGCACCGCGTCTCCATCATTGCTGCCCATGTATGAAGCCTCGGAGCCTGTGTGAGCAGTCTACCTGCTCCGTATAATATGGTACATGTACGGGGGCCGATGAATGGTAACCGGGCAGGGAGGACACAGCCTCTGGCCGTAGATGGCGTCTACTCTCTTTGTGATTGGTGGATCATTCATTCTGACCTCACGTCACAGCGATGCCGGATACATTGTATCTATTTATCAGTTGTGAAGAAGGATCTAATGGCTGATCCGATAGTGGAAGGTCAGGAATATGTGTTCCCCGGTCAGTGTCCTTCCATGACCTGTACTGGCTCAGGCTTCACTCTGATGTCCCTGTGCTGCCTTTTCTGATGACCCTTCAGAAGGTCATGTGGGTCACCCGGCCTTCAGACAGGCTGGGAGGGGGAGGGTCTGCCTTTCTCTTCAGGGACCTTTCACATCTTGAAACTGAAATGTATAAGGGGGGTGCTATATCCCTAAATCTATCCAATAAATTGGAGATCTGATAGTTTGATCTCCAAAATCTTAATTGGATCATTTTCATCCACTACAATCCACAATATTTGATTGGCTGCCAGGCAGTTGAGTTGATGGAAATCCAATAACTTTTGACATTTTTGATTCAGATTAATTCTGTTTGTGATTACATTTTATCAGTAGGCTCAATTCACCAACCTATCACACCAGGATAAGGATCCTGTTTTTTGGGAAAGTGGCAGATATTTTCAGCTGAGTTGAAAATTAGTCACATGACTTAGATAAAGCTCCTCCTTAAAGGCATAGTCCACCTATTTCTGCATGTTTGCAAGGTTTTAATTTCACTTCCTGTTCCAATGATATTACTTCTGAAGGACAGGAAGTGAACTGAAGGATGGGAAGTGATGGGAAAACTCTTCTATAAGAACAGACCGCAATGAAAGGCTTTTAAGTATTGTTAGAACTAAGTACTTCTCTCAGGTATCTATTGCTCTCTGTGCCTTTCTGCCTGCTGATATGTGGTCCTTTCTTGCCCTCATACCAGAGGGACAGGAAGTGTAAGACATTTTTACAGTGGTGCCATAGAGAGGCATAATAAAACCTGTCAGGATTGTAACTCTTCCCCGCTGCGATTAAAGAATGACTTTCTTGGGCTATAAATGGGTTTATTTTGACAGAAGTGTTTTTATTTCCTTAGATTATAGCCATGGGAGACTGTGAGAAGGGAAAGAAGGTCTTTGTCCAGAAGTGCTCTCAGTGCCATACTTGTGAAAAAGGAGGCAAGCATAAGACTGGTCCCAACCTTCACGGTTTGTTTGGACGCAAAACTGGTCAAGCCGAGGGCTATTCGTATACTGATGCAAACAAAAACAAGGGTAAGTGATGGCATTCATGCAGTGGCCCGTTTCTATGAATCCCTTGGAACTACAATAACCTGCAAAGCTCTCCAGCATCTACCAGTTGGCTCCCAGCATGTCTGGGCTCTAAAAGGGACTTCAGGGAGGAAATATGGTAACTGCTCTTGCTAGGGGGAATGGGGTCAAAGAGGACCTGTTGTGTGATTTTATTCCTGGATTGTCAACTGAAAGACCTCACACACAGACTACCTTCTGAAAGTGATGGCAGCAACTGTTCCCATCACTCCAACTAAGGTGTCATGCTTGGGACTAAGTATAAGATAAATGGTTGGGGGTATAAACGTTTCACAAGTAGGCCGCCACAGTTATAAAAAGAAAACTTCAGATTGCTGCAAAGGCCAAATCCTGAAGGGTTCTCTTTAACTGCTTGAAGACCAGGTGTTTAGATCCCCTACCTGGCCAGGCCATTTTTCAGTGTTCAGCGCTGCAGTACTTTGACTGATATTTATTCCGCCATGCAGCGCTGTACTGAAATTAATTTTATACCATTTTTTGGGGACAGATAGAGCTTTCTTTTGGTGGTATTTAATCACCACTGCGGGTTTTATTTTTTACTATATTCAGGAGAAATTACTGAATTTTGAGAAAAAGTTTTTTATTTTTTTTACATTATGCTATAAAACAACTATTACCCACTTTTATCAGTGTTCAGCGCTGCAGTACTTTGACTGATATTTATTCCGCCATGCAGCGCTGTACTGAAATTAATTTTATACCATTTTTTGGGGACAGATAGAGCTTTCTTTTGGTGGTATTTAATCACCACTGCGGGTTTTATTTTTTACTATATTCAGGAGAAATTACTGAATTTTGAGAAAAAGTTTTTTATTTTTTTTACATTATGCTATAAAACAACTATTACCCACTTTTTTGGTAAAATATAAAAGATGGGGTCACGTCGGGTAAATAGACACCAAACATGTCAAGTGTAAAAATTGCGTGCACTCGCAAAATCGCAAAAAACTAGCATACCCAAAATTGGCCATAGGCGACGCTTTAAAAGCTTTTACCGCTCATCAGTTTAGTGTTATCAGTGATTGATGGCCCTAGAA